CACTCTTAAGCGGTGCGAACCCATAGCACTTAATCTGGTTGAGATCACAGTCTGTATATGACTGATATACCCTGTCAACTAAAGTTGCCTGCTTATGGTGCGCGATCCCATTTCGCTTAGCATCTTTAAGTGCGTCTACTACGTTCTGGTGCTTCAGCTTATGGTTTTGCGTCAGCCAAGCAAGAATGTTTTTATCATTCTGCTCCTCCAGAATAAAGGTAGGGTGTTGAGAATCCACCTGCGTGGTTTTTAAGTCTGTAGTGTTTCTAGATACCTGTCCTTCTTTCGCATGAGTGTCATGAGTGCGCTCGTGTGCGTTTGATACACCTAACTTATTTAAAAGTCACATTATATCTGTATATGCTTCGGGATAATCTTTCATTAATCCCTTTAAAAATATGGTTTTAAAGACTTCGGGCTTGGACTTTATGTTATTAAACAGAGTCCTAGCTAGAGACTGACGCTTCTTAACTGTAGTGTCATTAGTAGATTGTATTTCTTGTGCACAGACTTCAAATGCTGTGTTGCCTTTGAACTGCTAACGTTCAATTTAGTAGAGAGTGGAATCTCTGATTCTTTGACTTTGTTAAGGAAGGTCTCAGAAGGGGTCTATTTGGTTGTTCCAATGGGATCTATACGACATATTTTAGTATGTCTCCAGTGCGTCTTCTAGATGGCTCGGGTACCCTGATATAGGAAAGTATCTACTTCCCTATTTAAATATATTGGCTCGCATTGTATCATGCTTATTAATGTATTGACCCATGGATCTTTACTCCGTAATGGGCAACACAACGTGATGGCAGCTTTGTGTATATGAACATAATTTAGTAATTGGGCAATTAACTGCCATGGTGGATTAGCCCACGCATTATGTTCGGAGAGGTCTAGTTGTAGGGCATCTCCTAAAGGATGATTTGAAGTCCTGTAATTCTTAAGTTGTGCATTATGATGTGTAGCAAACATGTCAACTGTATGTGGCTTAAATATCTTTTGTACCAGTTCAAACCACCTGGGGTTACATTTCCAATCAGTGGCTAGTAACTCACTTACGGATTTATTAAAGTCCGGTACAAAGCGAGATAACATATCCGGTAAATGGTTATGTATCCCTGGTAGATGTTTGATATCAAAATGAAACTTTGATATTATATCATGCCATCGGCTCAGTAGTTGAGAGTCTTGCTTCATTTCCTTCATATATTAAAGGGACTTCTGATCACATATCAGCGTAAAAGCTGTTACATATAAGTAATCGCGGAAGTGTGTTAAAGCTGCTACTATGGCTAGTAGCTCTTGCTTCACAGTTGGATAATTCAACTGTGATGCATTCATTGCTCGGCTAAATAATTGTATATACCTAGGTTTATTATTGCCTTGACTGTGTCTGACGGGGTCTTATATGGTTTCAGACAGTTATCGTCTGATTGGTCCTTTAATGGATCTATGTTATATGGTAAACCAGTTTCGGTTATACCTAGAATGTGTAAGTCACTCATTTCGACTATTAAGTCGTATTTCTGTGACATCTTAACTATCATAGCTTGGGTAGTGATATTTCTATCATCGGCCAGGGAAATTTTAACATCTGTGGCCATGGTATCACACTTAGAAGTTTTGTCATCTGTTAAGATTAGGTGAGTAGTTTGAGTGCGCCTTTCAATGTCTTTCATCAATACAAAGCGGTCGGATATGCATGAAATTTCTGAACCAGGATCAATCAATGCAAGGACTTTATTTCCATTGCAATATACAGGGATTGTTACACGCTCGTCCAAAGAGTCGTTGTATTTCCTTTGTAACGATTGTACCTGGTAGTACTTTCACTCCAACTTAATGTCAGGATTCTTGTCACATGACTTGGCGTGATAGCCATTGGTCTTCTCACACTTGTCACACTTAGTAAGAAAGTGTGTACAGGTGAGTGCATGTCTGCCATTCCAATAACCGTTAGGGGTCAATTGGTACATGTCATACCCACACTGTGCGTCGGCACATTTCTTAATCTCCTTAAATAGAGGTTCCTTGTCCTTCGCCTCCGCGCGTGCCCGTTTATTGGGTCGCGTTGATTGAGTGGAGTCGCGAGCACGTGTCTGGTTAGGACGCGTCTGATGAGGTTTATCATCTGATGTCTGGCGTGAGAGGTATCCTTGATCAGCGAGCTCGCGCGGTTTCTTATTTACCACCTTTATCTTCGAGGTTACTCAGTGTGCGGGAAAAAGAGTGAATGCAGTATCATAAAACTATTCCCACGTAAGTCGGGATAGATAAAACTTTGTTTCATGTCCCTTGTCTCGAGCCTCAGTAGCGTATTTACGTCGCAACTCGGTGTACAGACTTTCACGGTCGTTGTTCCCTATGTTCTTACAGAAAACATGCATAACCAGGAACTCGTACCATTGCTGGGCCTTGTCCTTTGTTATATCTGGACGTTTCAGGTCAGCATCAAGTTTCAGAATATAACTCTGAATAGGAGTATTCTCAACTGGTTCAGTTAAGATTGAACTCAGTCCTGGACTTTGCATGTCCTTGCTTAATATGGACATAACCAACCAACACACAGCTGGCCAGTCATGACAAGTGTCTAGCTCATGCTGGTGTCGCTGCAGGAGCAAGTAATTTGTTCCTGTAGGGTCAAACGACTGCATTAAAGCGGAAATCCATTGCTGGGGAGCGATATCATTCGTCTCCAGCATGACCGTAAACGCATTAAGCGTACGAGTTAGCGTGTCGAGGTCATGGTTGTTTATAAACTCGACCTGCTTGTTGTTGGCATCCCAGTTCGACTTAAGTCGACTGATCTGTCCCTTGTACTTCTGGTTATCCCTGTGGTCTTGCCCACGTTGGGCCTGAAGTAGCTGATCGATGTGCTTCTACTTGATCGCGATCATATTAGCAAAATATGATACGTTGTCAGCACGGTGCTCGTCATGGGCGATTTCCATATTAATGATGTAATCGACCGATTTATTAAGTTTGGTCACCTTGTCAGAGTGGAAATCCTTTGCTGGCTGGTGTAATGCTGTGCGATCGAAGCGATTAAATTCGACATCGTTAACACGTTTACGAGAGTGTATATTACCCCTTGTAAAGTCCATGGTCGAGGCCTTTCGGTACTCTGTTCCTTGGATAGTAGTTGGTACTATAATCTTGGATGATTCATGCGTCTGGATAATATACCCAGTCTTAACTGGTTTCCGACGATTGTTATCCCAGTTGGGTAAAGGTGGTGGAATATTTTTACCTGCCTCTGGGTCTATAATACCCTCAAGGACGGGCGACACATGGCCGGGTGTTAGAACAGGCGAGTAATTAGCCTGGAGTTCTGGTGGTAGTACCTCGTAAGGTATATATACGCTGAGCACATCTGGCTCATCTGACACAGGTGTAGCGCTCAGGCCTTTACGCTTTTAGGGCGTAATTGCCTGTCGACGTTCTGTCCACTTCTGTAGGGCTTCAGTAATGCCCAGAGAAACATGCTCGCGTAAGTGCTGTATACGTTTTCCTGATCTATACATTCGGTCTACATGTTCAACAGTCATGCCTTTCATAAGGGCGGCTAACTGATTCTTAAGATCAGTGTTTGCAGTAATTAACTTACTTATGCGCGCTGGTTCAGTGGTCTCGGACGTAGATTCGGGTTTGCCACTTGAGCTTGCCTCCTCGTCTGGTTCCGGTATAGGTACCTTCTGAGATTCGTCTTTGTCCCCTATAAATGGGGACTTTTCTTTCTGAGTTTCGTCAGAAGAATTGGTTGGGGCGTTTCGAGACGTGCCCCTTGTTTCACTTCTTGGCTTTGTAAATGCAAGCTCTGAAGTTGAAACAATAGTTGGCCCTCGGGCTCTGTCTGTAGAAGTAGTCTTCTTAATCGGAGTGGCTACATCCTTATCCGAAGCATTGACATATTGACTATTATTGTCGGAGGCAAGTACCTCGGCTACGGTGCGGTTAAACGCATCGGCAGCGGCGGTGGATGGTACTCTTAAGCAGTACGTAAACTATAAACGTACTCTTAATAGTACGAGGAACTTAAGTTTCCAAAATGGTTTTTAACGGTTTTTTTAATTAATACCTTTTCCATTTTACATATCAGATATTTGGACAAGGCCATTAAAAGGCCCCAGTAAAATACCAAACATAAGATTTGGTCTAGTTCTATTAATAGAACTATATTTACTTTCCAAATCTATTTATATCTGAATACTTCTGTTGCGAGATGGCTCAGCCGAACATAGGTTTCTAAGGACTATTAGCGTTGCTTAGTTTATCCTCCGTTCAGCCAACCAGATGTGCCAGTCTGATGATGGCTAAGTCGGTACTTCGTGATAAGTGGCAAGTTATTGGTTAATGCAATAACTATGGACATCAAGAGTATTTTTCTTTCTTTTGTAAAGATAGCAATTTAGGAGTCTCTCGGATTCGCCCTAACGAAACTTACTATAGTTTCTAATAGAGCGACAACGAAACACTAAATAAAATCCCTTCAGCGAAAGCAATACTGAGAGGATTATATATCGGCAATGTCTCAGCCTCACAATCCCTCAGAGTATTGCTGTTTTCACGAGGCATACTTCACTTTACTGAAAGACTCATTTCGTTTACTTGCTTCGATTTCAATTATACTTAGACTTAACCTAAGCGTTTAGGGTTTAAATTACTCTAAGGCGTTAATATCGCCTTGAAAGATCGAATCTTACAAATGTTTATACGTTCTCTGGCAATAAATTTATCGTCAGCTGCACGCTGCTGCAAAAAGACTAGTTGTCCGTTTTGGTTCTTTCTTGGAGTACATATGTATATCAAGTGGCGTTTCAGTTCATATCGATCCGTGAGTCCCTTATCGTACAAGTAGCAAATGAATATAGTTTTCTGTACTACATCTGAGAAGGTATCCGCCTCTTGCATCTTTCTGCCATAAATCTCATTATTGTATATGCCGTTGTCAGTCGATGCCCCACAGTAGCCATTGGTAATATCGGCAACATACGTGTTACCACAAGCTACAACATTGTGTCATATGGTAGTACAATTTTTATATTCGCTAAACTCGCAGAATATAAATCATTTGACACACATAGGGGTGATTCTATCTTCCGTTCAGCACAGTCTCCTATGAAGAGTGCAATCCCGTCATTGAGATCTAATGTTTGCTTGGTGCGGTCTGGTGTATATGGAGCGGCTTGTAGTGGTGTCGGGAAAGGTTGTCTTGATTTGAAGATATGTGACAATGCTATGCAGAATGTGGTATAGATTCGTCTAGCTGTCAGCTCTGAGATGTCAAAGTGCATACCAGCTATTGCCATATTATCTCGGCAATCCATGAATATGAGCATGAATAGAATAAAGTATTCCCACACCGTGAGTTTCTTACTGCGCTTCCGTAATTCATAATCTTCTTCGTCTTGATCAGTTCCTTCCATGTTAAGCTCCATCGCAGCCACCACACGGCTATGTACCTTATCATTCCATTGAGTTAAGTTTGCAAGTCGATTGTTATAGTTGAGATAATCAAACAGTAATCGAAGAACTGTCATGGTTGGTTCGCCCGTGGTCTTTCGACATAAAGCGGGCGATTCTAATATCTTAAAGAAATGAACTGTGCTCCACCCACTATGATCACCCAATGCATCTTGTTCTCTTTCCATTTGCTCGCTATCCATCGTTTCACGTAACTTTCTTCTTTGTACAGGGCGTGATTATATCACTAGCTTGAGATATCGACATCCTCGAACCGAATTTAGCTTTGCCCCTAGTAGGTATAATATTATTTATTTCAAAGGAGTTAAGTTACAATGTTTGTACCTATGGTATGGCTCTCATAGCCGTTGTAGTGGTTCGGGGAAGATCGATGGGACGAAGTGGTCAGTAAATTTCCTGTTGAAGCTTGGACCAAGTGAGTCGACAATGGAGGATATTCAGGCCGGTGCTGACAAAAAACTGACACCATCGAGTGTGCCACGTATTCGCTTTCTGACCTACTAAATAGCGTACCCACCTCTGTGGTTCGGATCGGGTCTTTATCGTGTAATGCTGTGGAATGGGTTAGTGCAGAGTACGAAATGCCAAGTAGGACCAGGTTATCCGTCATAATTCGGTTGAGGAGCGAGGTTGGGGGTGAA